ACACACGGTAGCCCATGGCAACCCACTGCCACAGGGGCTGCAGCCTACACCGTCGTAGGTGACTCACGGCAGCCCAGCTCCAGGTTGAGCTGTTGTTGTTCAGCATCTTAGCTGTGGAGGGCAGTGTCACTGGCCCTCATATGTGCCCCCCTGCCCTCCACTGCCTCTCCCCACCCCTGCCTCCCTCTCTCTGCTTCGTGGGCCTGTCCAGGCCTGAAGAGGGGGCCTGGGCACTGAGGAGCCAGCTTGGAAGCTATCGAACTAGTAAGTAGGCACTTGCCTCTTGTCCACACCAGAGTCTTGCAGGGGGCAGATGAGGTACACACACTTCTCCCCTCCTCATGTAAACAGGACTTACTGTGCTTTTATTTGGACTAAAGGAATCAAAGCTGGGATTTGCCCTCTATGCCAGTGTTTTGTCGCCAGGATCATTCAAGTTCACACTGTGCCTTGGGGGCAAGAACAGGGGCAGCTGATGGTAGCAAGTAGGGGAGGGTACATCAGGTCAGACCCCACTCCCCTGGGGCTTACCTATCAGGGAGCTCAGTAGACAGGAGGTCCCAGGACAGGGCAGAGGGGAGATGAAAGGGGTTCATGAGTCAGGAAATGCAGCCAAATGCCCTGCAAAGGAATTCATTTACCTTAATGTTTGGTTTTTATTTTTCACACCCATGAAACCAGTGAGTTCTCTCTGTATAAACTATTTGTAAAGTTGAAACCTTTGAGTAGAGGATCCTCCGATTCTGCTAGGGAAGCAGCTGTTTGCTATGAAAATGTTACTGGGGGCTTCACAACAGGGCAGCTGGGTCTCCTTGGTTCTTAAGCCAGCGCTTGAATGCAAGTGTTTTTGAGTTTAACGCCTACAGGTGATGGAAATATGTGGGTCCCATGTTCCAGGCCTCCAGGCGAAGGAGAAGGGCTCCTCTCAATGGGACCTGCATGTGATCTGTCACTGAGGTTCACAGGTCCTCCATTTCCCCCCACAATGGGTCAAGCTCTCCAGGCAGGGCCAGGAGGACACCCCAGCAATCCCACAGCTCCTCAGGGCCCCACCCATGCCTCGATGGCTCACATAGGCCCTTTCACTTCTGGGAGTCTTAACATGGTGCTTTCCCTTAAATTTACATTCTTTACTAGAATAAGTAATTTTAAGAGATGATGTTTTATCACCACAGTAAAGGGAAAGCTAGTGTCATGGGTAATCCTAAACATATACACCGTCAATTCAAATTGCTCCTAAACGTGAGCTAGGAACCCTTCCTTCCTGAGCTGGAAGGAAAGAAAAAGAATTGAAGAACAACGTTTTCACTAAATGATTCATTATCACCAGCACCAGGCCTGTGATTTGGCAACGCTGGTGTGGAGAGAAGGAAACTCCCTCAGGGCAGGTACACCCATCTTCAGTGTGTGCACACGGTCCTGTGAGTGGTGCTTCTGTCCCCTCCATCGGCTGGATCACAGATGCCCTTCTAACAGTTTGTTTTGCTCCTGTGCCTGCAGACCCCAAAGCTAGGGACACATTCGAAATGAGTTAAACGTATAATAAACACAAGAAGGAACCAACATACACATCCTCTGCAATACAGTAGGAAAGTCAGAGGATCCAACCAAAGGAAGAAGCGAGGAAAGTCAATAAACAAGTTGTTTGAGATGCAATATTACGGAGATGAACTGTTTGGAAGAAACAGTCACCAAGAGGAGAAAACAGGACAACATGGAGATTTCTTGGGTTAAGAACTTCCCTGAGCCTTAAATTCCAGGTTTGTAAATCTCTGGTCCCCTGGCTCATAAAGCTGCCATCCTAGGAGACTCAGCGTCACCAATGCTTAGAAATTGCTTCTACTTTTCTGCCTCACCAGCTAGCTTGTTCCCTCTAGGCGCCCACGTGGGCCTCACCTGGCCTGAATTTACCGCAATCTTGGATAGTGTCATTTAACCCATCAGGTGTGTCATATCTTGCTAATTATAGGGGCAAGGCAAGGAATTAACCTTTATTGAGGACATGCTGTACAGCAAACACCATTTGACTTTTACAATGGCTACTAAACTCACAATAATATTTCATCATTAGGTAAATGGTTTTACCATTTTAGAAATTATCTTGCATGAAGTCACAGCCAGGAAAGTTGGAAATGGAGCCCAGGTTGCTCTTAAAGAGCCCAGCTCTCTACTTTGCTCTCCTGCAATCTCCAGCCCTGGCCTTCCTCCCCTTCCCTTTGTCCTGCGCCTTTAAGGGTAGAGGATAATTAGTTGGAAGTCCTGTTTTACAACTTAGGACTAGGGAGCCTCTGGAGTGAACATCAACCTGGCAGAAGGCCTGAGAATGGGGGGGGGGGGGGGGGAGGAGCAGGGAAGCCAATGAGGAAGCGAATGCAACAGTTTAGCCAAGAAACAATGCCAACTAAAGAGGTACGCAAGGAAGAGGATAAAAAGCTAATTGGAGGCTTAGAAATTTAAACAACATTTGAAAGGAGTTGGAATTACTCAGCCTGGAAAGGAATTTTATTGTTTTTTATATATTTCCTAGGAAAACCGCCTTCTCACACACAGGTCACAGAGGCTGGTGACCATCTATGATGCCCTTGTCCCAGTGAATGCAGAGACAAACCGACAGCACAATGCTGATATGAAGAAGAGGCAAGATTTACAGGTGGGTTCATAAAACTCACTGCAGCTTCTGATGATGGTGCTCGTTTCAAAATTTAGTGTCCTGTTCTAGCATCAGTTGGCATCAACCAGTCTTTAATCTTTAGTTACTATCAGTTACCATCTTGCTAAATTCTGGAGAAAGTCGTGGTTTCTACTAGCCACCCTGACTACTCTTTTATACAAAGTCAGCAAGGACCTCATTCACCTTCTATGTGTAAGACTGAGATGAACAAGTTCTGTGCGTAATGTAATGATTTATCTCTGGGGATCAGGTGAAAGAAGATCATGCAGAGGTTAGCCTGTATATGTGGACTTTTTTTAGAAGGAATATTGCTTTGTGAGGTTCTCCTGGAAAAAAAGGAACAAATAATGACTATGTTTAGGTTCGGATAATATGTTTTGGTTTAAAATGTTGTATAAATTGGAGAGTTCTGTATTGGTCAACAGGACCTGGATGAAGAAATGCTTTGATTTCTATGTTGGTTAAAATTGTTGCCTTACGTAAAAAGTGGCTAAGCCATAGGAATTATGCCTACAACTCCTCTTACTGGTTGGGAAGGAAAAATGTCAGTGAGATAATGTCCTGCTTCTTATACAACAGTCTGGGCAGTTCTGCTGCTGAAGGCCAGGTCCAGGCTGGTGCTGCAGGAGGACTGAGCTGCTGTGGAGCTTCTGGTGGCTTTTAGACTGAGTCATCCCTGTGCTTACTCCTGTATAAACCCACCTGGTTAACAAGCAGAGCCAAGCCAAGGTCTAGCTAACCATCCCCAGCTGGAAGAAAGAGAGCTTGTCTTAGGACGGGGATGGCAGGATGGAGAAGTGAGCCATTGCGCTGCTGGCCTCCCCTTTTGTCACTAAGGCTTTACACATAACACCATCAGTGACTAGAAAACTTGACCTTACTTTTTTTTTTTTTCTTTAAAGATTTTTATTGGGGAATTGGGGGATGGCAACAGCGCTGGGGAATTGGGGGAAGGGGAACAGACAAGTTGCTGTCATTTTGTTCTTCAGTCTAGTTGTGGAGGACATTG